CATCCCTTAATTTTAAACATTTATAACCTGAAACAAGATAAGCTGCTACGCGGACTGTTCACTAAAATTCTGCTTGTGTGAACAAGAGAAGCAACAAAAGCTGTATAGAAAAGCAGCCTGAACCCCCCCCTTCCTTCTGCTCTCCATGGTGCTGATCAGAGAATGGTCTCCCTCTGTTAAGACTGAGCTCTATCCATTGTCCCAAATCATTTCCCCCCACCCCGCCATCTTTCTCTCTTCCTCTCCCTCTCTTTCTCTCACTCCCATCTCTCTCACACACACCGGGGGATGGGGGGGAAGCATCAAGTTGTACAGACAGTACTGGAGAAATCTTTTCTAACCAAAATGCCAAGCTGAGGGTTGAAGCAGAATTAATAATGTTGATGATTGACCTGCCAAGTGTTACACGCAAGGGTGATGAGCTTCCTCGGTCTGTCTTCTCTGCTTTGTACCACTGTCAGCACCACCAGACCCCTACATTTTGATCAGCCTCAAGATATTCTGTGACCTCAGCAGCCTCCCTCTTTTCCCTGCAGGCAGCTTTCATTACATGGTCATGTGATGAATGCAGATTGATACACAGAGGAAAATTACTACTTATGTAATAAATGCTTCAGCAGCAACTTAAAGTCAAGATCAGGACCAGCAATGTATACACATAATCATGCATAACAGTTCAGCAGCAACCAGCCAAAATCAGAACCAGCAGTGTACAGTATATGTACTTTAAAATCCCTGCATTCAAGAAATCTTATTATAAAATATATATGTTAGAAAACTGAGGCCAGGATAGCAGAAGCTGACAGTCAGAAGCAGGACCCAGGTTTTTCCAGAAACTCTATGCTGTCTTCCATCTACTGCCATCCTTTTTTGCTTCTAAGGAACCACTGAAACAGAGAAGAGGGTGTTGTCTAACATATTTTCATGGCAGGGAATGTGGAAAAACATCATATGCAATTCCTTGTGAAGATTACATTGTATTATTGGAAGCTTGCTATCTTATCAAACCCTACTGTGAGACACATATTCTTCAAAAGCTATTAGCACTAATCCATTGCTGAAAGGATTGGTATTTTATTGATATTATTAACAGAAGTCTCTGAGACCCCAGCTTGACGTAGGTCTACATAGCAAGGTATTAACATTCCAAAAAAAATGCATAATCCATATAAACAGTAAAGACAGAAGGCAGGACAAAGAACAGAAATAAATACAGAACAGAAGAATTAGCCTGAGTTGCAAGACATATATTGCCTGATTCCTAGAATTCTAAAATTTTAAGGTTTCTGGGAGGTCACTGTCAACCACTCTATTCTATGGCAGGGACAATAAGATTTTATAGACAGTAAGCTGGATGGATGCAGCATTTCAGACACCTAGAGGATAAAGAACAAGATCATTTAGGTGTTCCAGCTAAGGTGAACATTATTGTTAGCATGTCAATCAACCAGCACTTTACCCTTTTAAATCATCCACAAAATGTATCTAGCTTGAATAATGAAAGCAAACTTAGAGTTTTAGCACAAGTGAGCACCAGGTAACATCTAAGGAAACAGAATTCTTCTCAGGATCTGTATTGCAATCTGCATCTGAGTTGCAAAATAGGTAAGAATCCCCAAAGAGTTCATAAATCAAAGTCACCTCCAATTTACGGCAACCCTATGAATAGGTGATATCCAAAATGTCCTGTCAGGTCTTGTAAACTTGTGGCTTGCTTTAGGAAGTCAGTCCATCTTGTATTTGGTCATCTTCTTTTCCTATTGTCTTCCACTTTTCCCAGCATTATTGTTTTTTCCAGAGAATCCTGCCTTCTCATGATGTGCCCAAAGTAGGAGAGCCACAGTTTCAATATTTTTGCCTCCAGAGAAAGTTCAGGTTTGATTTAATCTAGGACCTACTTGTTCATCTTTCTGGCAGTCCAGGGTATCAGCAAAGCTCTCTTCCAGTATCACAATTCGAACAAATTAATTTTTCACAATTCAGCTTTCTTAACGGTCTAGCTTTCACACCTATATATGATGACTGGGAATAAAACATGGTGGATGATCTTGTTCTTGTTCTTCAGTGACACATCTTTACACTTGATGATCTTTTCTGATTCCTTCATTGCTGCCCTTCCTAGTCATTTTCTGATTCGTTGGCTGCAGTCTCCATTCAGATTGATGACTGATATGCAAAATCTCAAACTTTTTTCGTTTCTTTGTCAATGCTATAGCTCTTTTGTAGTCATAATTTTTATCTTCTTAATGTTCAACTGCAGTCCTACTCTGGCACTTTATTCTTTCTCTTTCCCTAAAAATAGTTTCACATTATTGCTACTTTCTGCCAATAAGATGGTATTGTTTGCATATTTTAAATTACTGATATTTCTTCTACCAATGTTCACTCCTTCATTTGAACCTAGTCCGGCTTTCTGTATGATATGTCCTGTGTACAGATTTAACAGATAAAGGGGATAACATCCATCCTTGCCTGACACCTCTGCCAATAGGAAACCATTCTGTCTCTCTCTATTTTGTCGCAATGGTAACTTTTGTCCCCAATACAAATTATGCATCAGGACAATCAAGTGCTGAGGCACATAAATTTCTTCCAGAACAACCCATTGCTTTTCATGATCTACACAGTCAAAGGCTTTGTTGCAGTGTACAAAGTACTGTATAGACTAAATCTCTGAACTTCTTTGCTGCTCCCAGGAGCCAGCAGATATCTGCAATATAATTTCATTACCTCTTCCTTTTTGGAATCTGGCTTGAGCATCAAGCATTTCTCACTCCATATAAGATGAAAGGATTTTGCTGCAACATCATGAGCATCACTTTACTTGCATGGAAAATTAATGTAATGGTCCTATAATTACTGCTCTCTTTGGCATCTCCTTTCTTGGGGATTGGACCACATCTTGAACATTTCCAGTCTGGGAGTTATTGTTTTGTTTTCCATATCCATTGGCATATTCTTTTTAGGATTTTGACAGATTCAGTCTCTGTGGCTTGAAACAGTTCTGTGAGCATCACATCTACCTCTGGTGATTTATTTCTTCCTTGTGCTTTCAGAATAGCTTTCACCTCATTTTCTAGAAGTGCAGGTTCTTCATTACAGGATTCCTCTTCAAAGGAGTCTGTCATCTTTTTAACCCTTTTGTATAGGTCTTTAGTATACTATTTCCACCTTCTCTTTATTTTCAAAGATCATTCAGCATTCCTAATTTAAGTTTGAATTTCCCTTTGATTTCTTAGATTATCTGGAAGAGATCTCGTTTCCCCCCTTTGTTGTTCTCCTCTATTGCTTGTCACTGGTTGCTACTAGGAACTAGTAGTTCTCTTTGTCTCTATGTGACAGTAGCTGAAAATTTCAATATTTCGAGTACTGTTATAGGCTGGCATTTAGTTTACATTGATTGGTTTGACAATGGGAAAAACAGTTTGTTGGCTCTAAAGAGCAAGGTGATTTACCTCAGCTTCTCAAGAGTGAGCAAAAGTGAAGCATCCTATATTTTCACTTGTTAAAAGTTAGCTCTTTTCCTGCAGTACAGTAGCACAATCCCACTGTTGTGTCCCCAGATGTTGTTAGAAGACACCGCCCAGAATCTCTGACTATTAGCCATTGTGGTCTTAGACTTCTGGGAACTGAAGGATGATATCATCTAATGACCCAAATTTAGGAACCACTACACCAAAGCTTAGTGAAACTCATTCATATATTGTCCATTTATTTTATGGCAAGGTTTCAAATCATTTGATATGTGCCCAGTCGAATTGACTCGATACAAAATTACTGGGTTTGTTTCTGATGGAAAAAGATCTTCGCCTGGAACAGGCTGGCTTATGACTTTGGTGCCTTTGTCCTTCTCCTCCCACCATGTAGTAATTGCACTTCCTTCCATTGCCCACCAGCTCCTCCCGCATGGGGCACTTGTCTCTCTTTCTACTTTCCCCCCCACACATTGTGTACAACTCTATAAATGCTGGAGAGAGGGGGGTGTGCCTGGTCATCATAGCAGAACATGGTAGAGCACCAGAAATAAGTAAAAAGATGCCCAACCTCAACTTTTTTACTGTTGTTGTTGAGATGTAATCCATTCTAAGTCCATAACTCAGTTTTTTCTTCCAAGTATGTATTCCAGTTTTTAATATCTGAAGATGGAGCTCTCAGTGTAAGATACTCCAGAATAGGATAGTTCTCTTTGAAAAAAGCAGCCTATGTAGAGCATGCCCTCTAAAAATATATTGTGACCTTAGTTCAGTTTGCTCAATATGACACAAATTATGCAAACTGCATGCAACTCAAATAAGTACACCCACCGAGCACTTTATATATTTTCTCAGAAACAAACAGATTTTTGACTCCCTAGTATAGTGAACAGACTCCCCAAATAGGGGTCTGAAGTCCTACAGGTACATTTCAGCTCTGCAGTGCTATAATCCCTGTAATTTCCTCTTCTGTTACCTGTGAGCTAATGACCAAAATGTTTCTCCTCTTTATAAGATTTGTTAAATTACTCCCCATTTTCAAAGGCTGCCTCTCTCTCTCTCTCTCTCTCTCTCTGTGTGTGCGTGTGTGTGTGTGTGTGTGAGAGAGAGAGAGAGAGAGAGAGAGAGAGGGAGATGAGGGGGGAGGGAGAGAAGGTGTTGGGTGCCATGGGACTATGCCCTCTGCTTTTCTTTGGTAAGATCCAAGTTTTGCTTATGGTGTGGTCAGAGTGATTGCCCTATATGGAGATGAGGCACAAAACTCACTCTCAGATTGATTAATTGATCAATTGATTTACATTTATGTATTACTCTTTTGCCCTCCTGCATTCAAAGTAGTAACAATAAAGACAAATGCAGATAGAGTATGTTCCAAACACCATTAAAACATTTTGATACAAAAGAAAAGTAACAGCATCAGTGAAAATTGACTGAGTTTCTTTTTTAAAACCTTCCCTGCTTTTCATGCTAGTTTACATATGCCATTTTGAGCTATTTGCTCCACAGACACTTAACTGAGTGCCTTACCTGTTCTGCGTATGTGGCTGCTTGTAGCTGGAACTGATCCACTGGGATAGCTGATGAATAATTGGTTCCAGCTTCAACAAGACATGGATTAGATGGCCTACAGACTCATGGCTACTCTGTGATTCAATACAGTACAGTAGTTTTCAATAGAGCAATTTTCTACCTGCTACTTCAGTTTAGCTCTTTAGCCATGCTATTTTTGCAGTGAAAATCTGGCCTAATGCTTTCCTAATGCATTGGTAAGCATTTCTACTTTTGCTGCTGTTTGAAAGAGAATATTTATAGCAATTTGTCTAAAACATTTTAAATGTCAATACTTCGGGTGGTCAGGGAAGATTTTTTCCCCCTCTCAGTTTATTTTTAGCAATATAGTGGGGGGCATCTCCTCTGACTAGACAGCAAACTGGGGGAAAAGTCATCTGAGAGAGTTAATTGTTTTGGAAAACTGTCAGCTGCTAAAGTAGAAAAGCTATAAAAAAAAGAACTGTCATGTCAGCAAATGGTGGTGAAAGTAAAGATTTCAGTTAACAAATAAAGTGAAACTGACTTGTGAGCATCAATTTCTTATGTATGTTCCAACATATGTGGGCTTGTGTGTGAGAGAAATGGGACTTTCCAAGCTCTATGGGCTGCAGGAAGGTAGCCAAGCAGCAAAACTCAAATGGAGGATTACTCCTGCTTAAAAGCAACGTGCTCCAGGAAAGTGACAAGCTCTTGCTACCAAATTGCTAGGGCTACATCCCTCTTAAACTATATAACCCCAGGGAACTATTCCAGCCCCACCCCCATGGTTCCTACATAAGTGGAAGAACACTTAGGTGAGTCCTCTCACATTGGCACAGTGGCTAATACAAATTTTAGTCCTAACTACAGCAGACCCATTGAGGGGATTATAATTAGCTATACAACACTAATATAAGCTCCTTTCAGTTCAATAAATCTACTCAATGGAGTTAGCCCATGGCTCACAAACCTGGAATCAATAACTAAGAAGGTGTCAATTCTAAGGAAAACACTTGCACCACACAGACCTCATGCACTTGGAGGCTAGGCCACTAAAGTATTAGTACCTCTATGCAGGAACCACTTGGAGAAAATTGCATGCCTTACAAGATAACATTTAAAGGCCCCTAAGTTTAAAAATTAAGAACACTGAACATGGCTTGGCGATAGACCTGACTGGATTCATAAGCACTCTAGTCGTAATTGAAAGGACACCGTGTGCTTCTCTAGGAAAGGGCCATCTCTCTTTTCTTCACTTCCACTTCGGCTTTCAGAGTCATATAAAAATGATGGAATGAAAGACCAAGCACTTCCACAGACTTCGGAGCAACAGCTCTGACTCTTCTATGATAACTCCCTACAAATCCCTTCAAGTGTTCATTCTTTTTCCCCTCAAATGAATATTCTGCTTGGTACATTTACTGCAGCCTGAAGATAGTTCTGGGGGTATGGCTGTGTTCTCATCTTTCTACCTTGACTTAGGGCTTCAGGTGACAGACTTTTCCAGCCCTGCCTAGAGACACCACGGAAGGAACTGAATCTCGGACTTTCAGCTTGCAAAACATGTGCTCTGCCACTGAATTACAGCCCTTCCCTAAGGCCTGTAATTCAGCAGCAGTCTTTTTGCTTGACTTAATTTCCAAGGTTGTTGTGAGGATACAATCAGACTGCATTTGAAAGCAAATGTCACTTAGTGCATAGTATAATTTGCACCTGCACTTTCACATTTTATCTCTTAAAACTGTGGAATACTGGTATGTCAGATGAGAATGTTAAATGTGTCCAAAACATTCTTGAGGGTCATGGCTCTCCTCGTGGTCTTTCTGACTCTTCTATTGGAAAGGCCCTATTCTCCCATTCAAGCCTTTTGGGGGGAGGTTTTTCAGTCTGCCAACCCTTAGTGGGAATGCAAGCAAAGGCTTTCTTGGTCGTTTGTTCCCAGACGGTGCCACCCTCTTCCAAGGGAGGCTAGGCTGCCCCTTTCATTGTTCTCCTTCCTCCAGCAAGCAAATACTTTTTCTTTCAGGAAGGTGAAAATAGCTGTTGATGAATGAGTTTTTAATCATTGAAACACAGGGGGCGGAGTACTGCACTTTTCATCCATGTGCTTTTAAACACATTTTTAATGTGACAAACTGATTAACTGTCTTCTAACATGACAAGTTTTTGCCATTTTATCTGTCCCCATTTTAATCTCCTTATGAGCCACTTTGAGTCCCGTTTTTTGGAGAAAGGAGGGATATGAACCAAACCAAAATCAATAAATTGATGCTGTTCACTGCGTGACCAGTATCAGGTATCATAATGCAATGCTCCTCAAACTTTGGCTCACCACATCTTTTGAACTTTGATTTGCAGAAGAATCTAGTCAGCATGGACAATGACCAGGATTCTTGGAGTTGATCCAAAACACAGGGAAGCCCAAAAATTAAAAATGACTGTGATATTATGTACTGCAAAGAAGAAATGATACAAAGTTGATACCTTTAAATATAACTTTCTGTAATTGTGGAAAGTGCAAAGCAAATGACATGAATACATGAAGATAACTAGGTGAAGAAAAGTGCTGAACTACCTTCAAGTTCCTGAAGCTTTCAAACATTTATAAATCTTCAGTCTAAGTCTGCTTCACCAGTCCCTATTTAGAACTGCATAGAAGTCACAAAGAAGACTTAGCAGTTCAACTTGCAAAAGTGCCATCTGCTAACTTAATTTTAACTGAAATATTCTATCATTTCTGCCTCTGATTTCAGGTTTGATGTTTATTGACATGCTTGCTTGACAGCCTTTCTCTTCCTCTTGTTCTTTTTCTTTTCTTTTTATTGACAATTGGGGAACTGAGATTTTAAAAAAATCATTAACTCATAAATCCTTGCAGCAGACGATTACACCTGTTCTCAGAGTGGCTTCCACAATAAAATAAATAACTTAAATATCAACAACCAACCAGCAGTAATGCAGTAGAAGTATAATGTAGCATTACTATTTAATAAACAAAGAGCAGAGAAGAAAAGGTAAGTGCGAATGCTGACTTAAAAGCAACAGCATAGGTGCAAAGGTCCAGTGCTGAATGGACCAGATGAGCCTCTTTTAGGAGGGCATTCCACAGTCAGGTGACAGCATCTCCAAAAACCCCTTTCATTTGTCAGCACCTGCTGCATCTCTGTGGGTAGAGACACCTAAAGAAAGGTTGGACTCCAAATGTTGATGACTAATAGACCATCGCTATGAGATGCCACTCTGCTGCAAAGTGTCAGAGACTCTGCTCTTGGGTACCAGTGGAAGGAGATTGCCTGTGGAGTAGAGATTGCCATGACTATGGTGCACAAGAGATCAAGGTCTTTAAAAAAAAGAGCTCATTGTTGTAGTCTTCTAGTGTAGTGGCGTTGTTGTTTTTTAAATGCGTAACAAAACTATCACATTCCGTTGCCACCTGCCCTCTTCTCACAGTTATCCAGTCTTAAGTGGATAAGAGGGCTACCAACTGCCGTTTTTGTGGGGAGGGGAAAGGGTATTCATGCTGCTTGCAAGTGACACTTGCCTTGTGCATCTCACCGTACAAAAGCAAAGCTGCTGGATTGCAAAAGTAGGGTCAAATGACACGAGTGGTGTTCCTCATTCTTAACACTTGTGTTGAAAGGACCATAGTTTGGACTTTCCCCAGGGAAGAGTCAGAAGAAAATAAAATGCATTGTGATACAGACATGACCACATTTCAGAACATAGCCTCACTATTGCATCTTCTCTATTGTAGTAGCCTACCACAGTCCTCTGTGAAAAATTTAGAAATAAATAAATCTATTCTGTATGAATTGTCTGTGAATCATCTAGTTCTTTTTTTAAAACTATCTAATTCTGGAATCAATGGACTGTGATATATTTATGAAACCATGTAGATACTTATCAGAACCACTCCTAAATCATTGGCCATCAACACAAATTATGGAAATAAATTCTCATATGCCGGTTAAAAAGAGTACAGCCTTTAATTCACCCAACAATCAGTTTCCTTTCATTACCCTCATGTTCTAGTACTTTGAAAGAGACAAAATGGGGGGGGAGTGTCCCCCCTCTTTGTGAACTCCTCCATACAATATCATTTCCCTTCTTTCTTCTCATGTTTTCCAAACTAAAAAAATCAGCATATGGAAGATGTTTAAACCTCCTGATCCTTATATTGTGCAGTTCTATATATGTACACCTCCTGTATATATATGATTTATAGTACAATCCTATACATCTCTATTAGAATCAAGTCTTCCTAACTTCAGATAGGTTAGTATAGTCAGAGAGTTGTACTGGCAATCCCCCTTTTCTGTATCGTCTCTATTTCCACAGAATCTTGTTTGAGACTTCTTTATTTATTATGAATATCTATAACTCATTCTTCAGTCAGGAGACTTTTAGAGTGGTGTAGAAGCCCCAAGAGCAGCCGTTTTAAGAATACGCGTAAGCAGCACCAGCAAGATCAACAACAGCACCTTCAAAAGCAAGCATCTCTAAAAGTTCACATTAAATGTCACAGGGTAATTAAAAATGGTCAGTGCTTAAGACAGCGGTGTGTGATCTCAGCAGGGCTAGGGGCCATTTTTCAGATTTGCAGGCAGCCTGAGGGTCACCCTGCCGGGGTGGGGTGGGGAGACTAAATGGACTAATTTGCATATCGAGGTTTTTTTAATTAATTGATATTTTTAAAATCGTAATGTCATGATTATATACTATAAACTTTTTAAAAAATTGATTTCTTTTAACTGAATTCTTTTTTGGGGTTGCGGGGGCTGGGAGCCACAGAGCAGCTGGGGGAGGCTGTGCAGGGCCCACAGGCTGCACGTTGCCCACGCCCCAGACCTATAAGATCAAAACATCGGAGTTGCTGCGAGGCAAGCATCCCGGGAGACAGCATTCAAGAGTACAAAACAGTATAACAAAAAAATATTGTTTCACCGGTCACCACATATTTTGTTTCTGAAGGTTGTGTTGGAGAAGGGTCTTTTCAGCACTATCTTGTGCAGGTAAAAGAAGAAGGTGCCTAGGTCACATGTTATGTAAGGGACTGAAAGTTAAGAACTCGTTCTGGTAAGGCACTAAATCATGGATCCACTTAAGACAAACAGGAAGTCAGTGCCTGCTATATGACAGTGATAGAGCCCTGCCATAGAAGCCACCAAACTTGTCAAAAAGCTCCACTGGAAAGCACTGAGAAGAGTCTATAGTGATAAAGAAGTATTTCTTCTTTATCGCTGCTCCAGAGCAGGCTCTGCGCTCCTATTGGTGTCAATGTGAATTCATGGCAAAGTCTTCACCGTCTTTCTTTAGCTATCATGTCATCTGCTTCATGGGTCCCATTCCCAATTCCTGAGAAATCCAGGGGAGCTGAGCAAACTCTATTCACCAGAAAGGGGCACTGAATGTCAACTGTCTGAATCATTCCTGTATCCTACAGAGCGACTAGAGCAATGATAGCAGTACTAGCTGTCTCAGACAGAATTATATACTGGGTGTACCATGGTTTATATCATGGTAATTAGAGATAGGCGAGAACCGTCACTTTGGTGTTTCCTGCCAGTTTTTTCCACCCCAGCTAAACACGTTTTTGGTACTTCCCAGGTCCACCTCTTCTGGAGGGTGTCCACTCAGATACAGTGCCCCAGCTTCTCTGCTTCGCCTCCTCTGGGCATTGCTTCTCAGTGGGCAACTGCCAGAGAAGGCAGGGCTGGGAAGCACATAAAACCCTGTTTGGCTCAAAAATGAACTGTGTGCCCCATCTAACGGTGTTTTTGTTTGTCTGTTTGTTTACTGCCCCATTAGTGTTGCTACTCTCTGGGTTGTTCACAATATACAATAAAATGCAATAAATATAAAAATACAATACAATGGTTGTCATTTCATTTTTAACTACTGTAATTTCCTAATAATTCCTTATACAAATGTTCTTTGTTTATGCCTCCACGTCCTTTCTTTCCTTGTTTTATTTCCATCCCAGCCCCTACCAAGAGATTAAGAATTCCAAAAACTCAATTATGGCAACCAGGACTGAGGGGTTGGGGGTGGGAGAAAATCTAATTTTTGTTGACACAGTGTGTGTTACCTGCCCTGGTCAATATATCCCACGGTGCTTATTACTGGAACAGTAGAAATTTGTATCAGTCCCACAATATGCCATATACTGAAAATCCCTGCCTCTTCCAACCGTGTGTAAATGTTTACACTGAAATGCACAGCCATGCTTATTCTAAATACGGCATGCAAGGATCTCCTGGCAAACATCTCCTGAAGCAATGGATTCAGCCATATGCTGAACAGCAACTCCAGCTACTTCCAGATGGCTTTTGTCCTCTAGGGAAATGGAAGAAAGCTGGTGGCAGTGGTTATTGATTCCACTGTACTACGCTATTCCAACCGGTCATTTGATTGTGGGTGCTTAAAAAGTAGGTTGAAATGGGCATAGCCAGGAATGACTTTAATGTCAGAAGTACACCTTTCCATTTATTTCATTTTTAAGAAAGTTTTGCTTTTAAACAAAACCCTGCAAAATGCTATGTTAGAACCAGCCCTTCGTTTGAGTAGCTGTGTCATAAGCCCATCTTTAAGTGAGATGCTCAAGGTGCCAGGGAGAGCTAGATCATGTGTTTTCTACAACAGTGCTTCTTTGTAACAGGTTTTTGCCAAGCTGGGCCAGAGTAACGATAATCAAAGCAAAGCTGGCAGCATGGCTTGTGGTTGCTGCAGTTCAGCTCATGTTAAAACAAAGCAAGAAAGGTGAATCTCTGCAACACATCAGCCAACAATTTAGAGGTTGGGTTAAAAGTCAAATCTCTTCATATAATATAAGGCACATATATGATGGCAGAAATGATACAATTGATGCTTCTGATCAGAATCACATGGTTTCTAGAACAGAATACTGATATGCTTTAGACAATCTCTTTCACTTTGTCTCTCCCCTAGTCAAATCCAACAGGAATTCATAAGAGCTTATTTTGTACCCAGTGATGTTTAAATAACTTTTCTTTACATTTGTGGATTTATTCCTATCCAGATTGCAAGATTATGTGCCTTAATTTCAAGGGTAATGTTTTGGGAAGAAGATTGCTTCCAATTTACCTGTTGTTGCTATTGACATGAGCAATCTTTGTGTGGACTGGCATTTAATCCATTAATTGGAATCATGGGCACAAATATTTGTCAGATTTAAAAGGCAGGGCACTTCAGAAACAGAATGCACATTTAAAGAGTATTCATGTTGGACATGGTGGCGCTAGGGGACGTGGTGGTGCTGCGGGCTAAACCGCAGAAGCCTGTGCTGCAGGGTCAGAAGACCAAGCAGTCGTAAGATCGAATCCACGCAACGGAGTGAGTGCCCGTCGCTTGTCCCAGCTCCTGCCAACCTAGCGGTTCGAAAGCATGCAAATGCGAGTAGATAAATAGGGGCCACCTCGGTGGGAAGGTAACAGCGTGCTGTGTCTAAGTAGCACTGGCCATGTGACCACGGAAGATTGTCTTTGGACAAAACGCTGGCTCTATGGCTTGGAAACGGGGATGAGCACCGCCCCCTAGAGTCGAACACGACTGGACAAAAATTGTCAAGGGGAACCTTTACCTTTTTTACCATGTTGGACAACACCTTAAGGAATTGTTTGGGATTATTCTTAGTGTAAATATTCCAGCATTGCAATATTTTTTTCTTTCTGTTTGGAAAAAAAATTGACTCAGCCTATATGGGCATTGAACCACTGCCCTGTAGAGGACAGATGGCGACCCAGGAGACCTGAGTTCAAATTGTGGCTTGACCATGGGAACTCATTGCAGGGCAGGAATGGTAAACCTCTCATTGAACACCTCAGAGCATATCTTGAAAACCCTGCTGTGGTTGTCATGTTGGAATCTATTTGATGGCAAATAACAGCAAAAATATGGACATTAAATGTGTAACCTAAGGCTGCTGCTGAAAATAACATCACAAATCACTTGAAATTTAGATATCTTTCCTTTGTACAGTGGTGCCTTGCTAGACAGTTACCCGCATGACAGGTTTTTTTTTGCTAAACATTGACTTTTTGCGATCGCTATAGCGATTCACAAAACAGTGATTCCTATGGGGGAATTTCGCTGGACAATCTTTGGTCCCTGCTTCGCAAACTGATTTTTGCTGGACAATGATTTTCACAGCTTCCTCCACGCTTACAAAACAGGTGTTTTCAGGACCTAAGCGTCGCAAGACAGCAATTTAAACAGCTGATCGGTGGTTCGCAATGCGGCTTTCCTATGGCCGATTTTCACTAGACAACGACGATTCTTCCCCATTGGAACGCATTAAACAGGTTTCAATGCATTCCAATGGGGAAATGCTTTTTGCTAGACAATGGTTTCACTAAACAGCGATTTCAGTGGAACGGATTATCATCGTCTAGCGAGGCACCACTGTATAAGGTATTCTTTTCTTAATCCGGGAAGCACTCTCCGTGGTGCTGATAATGTTAGCATTTTATAGAAGAGCAAGAAAGAATCGGAGCCTCCCAAAATAAACAGTCCACATCAAAACCACATTTACAACATTGGAATGCACAGAGCTGCATCATCATCCCAAATGTATCCATCTTCAGTCCTTCCTTTTCATGCCGTTGAGAAATAAAGCAGAAGGGACAACAACACCAATATATTTTGGAAGGCAAAGAGGTGACACAGACACTTCAGTAGTACTGAGAAGAAAGATGCCGTCTACATCTGAGGTGATGAAATGGGTTGCTCAGAACACATGAATTAAAGTATGGATGAAAGACAGGTGACAGATGGATTAATAATGCTGTGTTATAACCAGCACTTGCTGTACTCACTGAAAAAAATCACAGAACCACTGAAAGTTTTGAGAATTGTATTAGTGGGCACATGTGGGTGTGGGTGTGGGTGGCTGCCCTTCATCCTTGTTGGGATGAAGTTTGCAAAAAGCTGCTGCTTCCTTTCTCGCTCCATCTTACTGAATCTGGAATAGAATGAACACAGATGGTTCCATCTACTAATAGCCCCAGCTATCAAACTGTCACATGGGGATCCATTGGGGGAACAGATGATTTGAAATAATTTCTGGAAATAGATCAGTCATTCACTGGTCTTGGGTGATGTCTTGTAATATTTAAGGATTAGAAAGAGGCACGTGCAAACACTATTCTCCTTCTGCTTTCATGATGGAGTAGGCTACCACTTGCTAATGCTGGGGCTTTAATGCTCCAGTGACTAAGAGATCGGAAGTGATACTATACTTTTCAGACTTCTCCTCCTCTCTTTTCCAGCAGCATATTAATGTCCTCTTTCCTCCCTTACACACATTCAGATTCCTGCACACTGACATATATTGCACCCACACATAATCATTCATACCCTAAAAAACATAAATACGCACCCCCCCATAACACAAATTTAAAACCAGTAGCTGACACTCCTTGTGGTTGACTCCATTCTTCTGTTGGCAGATGAATGAGGAAACAGGTATTGCACTACAGTGCAGTGGGAGGGGGGGGGAAGGAATGCAATAAGCTTGGATTCTGGGTAGTTTTGTTTAAAAAACACAATTCCTGAAGTAGTGTTCTATGATTTGGAAGAATGGTGGATCTATTATTTTCAAGCAGCATCTCTTGGTGATAAACACAAGGACTCAGCATCACTGCTCTTCAGCGTATTTCTCTTAGGCATATGCTTCCCGGCACTCACTCCCCAGTATCTTTTCTTGGATGGCATTGTGACTCCAGCTTAGTCCCCAAGACCTTTCAGTCTAGCTGATGCTCAGCACAGCAGTTACATGTCAGTCCCTTTATTTTCCCCACTCAGTATGATTCCTTTCTAATTGAGAAATTAAAGGTACTCAGCCTAATGGCTTACTGAGAAACTAGCAGCTACCGTCTCTTGGCTTCCTTGTCTCCCAAATGTTGGCACTTTCATGTGCTCCAGCTCTTCACCTTTAACTTCAGTATCTCAAACCCAAGCAGGGCTCTTGTGGTTGCACCTTTGGCTTGCAAACCCATGCATGAAGAAATTCATGCTCTGCATGTAATTTATGTAGATAATATGTAATTTGGTGTTGTATTATTTTAATAAAATTAAAATAAACAACTTAAAAAAGCAAATTCATGCTCTGAGCTAACTGTCTCAAGCCCTAGACTCACAGTGACTGCCACTAACTGGGAGAAAGCATCTCCTGTAGAATTTCACCTTGATGGAGCTGCATGACTATCTTTGCTAATTGGCCTTGGTTTGCCTCTTGTTCTGTTCCTTCTCTCCCCAACCTGTATATGTGCTCCAGATGGGTATTAATAGGGCCAAGGCCAGGATGTTCATTAGCAGAAAAATCAATTACAGGGAACTAAAAAAGATCTAATGTAGCCCCAGTCTGGAAAAACAGCTGAAACAGTGGTCAGATGGGGGGGGGATGTTATC